GGATGAATACCTGCTGTCATATGGATGATGAACGTGGAGTAAATACACAGCAAGAGACAAACAACCTATTGGAACCTTGCTGATCACCTGTAATCGGTTTTCTTCCATTGAAGCCATATCGTCTCCTCCACCAGAAATCTTCATATCACCGGGATAGAAACCTGTCACCTGTAATCAGTTTTCATTTCATATGTCAAATTTCGAAATGTTCGTATATTATCGTAGTATGTAACGTCCCTGTCTTTAGATATAGTATGACCGTCCCTTGATGATCTGCATATATTCAAATTATTCGAACGACCGATTGCCATGAGTATGTAACATTGCGATGAAGCAACCAAAATTTTAGCAACCAATATGGGCTGATCCTAGTACATTCTGAAGCAAACATATATACACCTTGATTTTATTTATTTTATGTTTCGATAAAACAGCACTGATTCTCCACTTGTAAAGATTGAATACCAAATTGTTATTTGAGATCGAATAACAAGCAACTGGTCATTGTTTTGGTTCCAACACTTTAATTCATTAGCAATGAACTTGCAACATTTTTCCAAACAATTGAGTTATTTTACTTACATTTTTGCAAGTCACAAAAGCAAACTGTTGAGCTGAATGCACGTTCGTTTTTTTTTTTCTAGTGAATTGTCACAACACTTCTAATTAACTTTTCGATGTATCTGTAATGTTGCTGATCTTACACACTGATTTGGTGCTGTAAATATCCATTTACATGGAATATAAATGCTATCTTAAATATACATGGAATATAAATGCTTACTTATATCTTAAATATCTTGAATGTGACCAATTGTAGTCGACGAATTTCTTTTTTGTAATATAAGAGTACTTGTACATAATTTTTGACAATACTATTTTTTGTATCATTGTAGAGAATTATGGATGCAGTAAACGTATTTGTTAGTCATGGAACAGATACATTTGGTCTACTTGTTCCTTGTGGTTGCAGTTATGTGAATCTTGTAGATATGATATCGAAAGAACTGGAGGTTAACGTTAGTCGTTACTGTAATTTCATTACAGGGTTGAAAATGCACTCTAAAAATATTAACTTCTCATTTTTTGGTCTAAGACTCCTTAAACAAAACTTAAACCATAATTTGAAGCAAACTGTAAAAGACTTTTGAGTTATCGTGAATCAAATAAATACATACATTCTTATGTTTCAACTTCAAAATCGGTGATGAACGAGTGATGAACTCTGAGAAAAGAAAGTCAGAAAGATTCCTAGAAACAAGTGAAACAAAAGAAAAAACTGTTGACCATCCTTTGGGCAATCACCTGTACCAGCTGCAATGTCCCACAATATGAGACATGAGTCACGTTTAAAATATATATTTGCTTAAAAATGTACTAAGAACAACCCAAATTTTTATTAATTTAACATACCCAAAAGAAACACATGTCATGGCATAGCCGTTCTCACGACATCGCAGAATATAAAACTGGGCACAGGTAAATCACAACAAAAAACTGAAAACTAACAACGCCACATGAACACATCATATGCACTAGGCTCCGGGATATCTTTTATTTTCCAAAAGGATAAACAAGATGCGACTACTGAACTACTCGATCGTCAGTCCTTTTATCTTCCTGTCTCGCCTCACGCTTCGTGGTAACAAGTCAAAGTCGGTGTCGTATGCTTCAATCACCTTCTCACATCCATGTTTGAGAAGCTGAGATGCTAGACTGGTTCTATATTTGATTGGGTCTAACATCCACGATGCCTTATAAGTGACTCCATTTAGGATGTATTCGGCACACCTTATCACGTATAGTCTGCAATCTTGTCTGTTCACATTTAG